CGCACATTGAACAAACACTGAAGTAGCCGGGAGCAGACAGACGGGGCTTCTATCTCCACCGCCTCGAAGGGCGTGCAGGGCCGGCCCCGCGTCGCCACCGCCGGGTCGCCCGGCCCCAGATCCGGAGCGTTTCTCTTCCTTTCTTTCGCATTCTTCGTTTTTGTCTGCCGGAGCTCAGGGAGGAAATCATTTCTGAGCTTTTTAACTTTTAAAGCCATCTTGTTCCTGGGCCATGTAGCCTGCAACCGGACCCGGGAATCTGAGAAATTGCAGGTAAGTTTGGCGGCTTTTTTAATGGCTCTCGCCTCTGAACGCTCTTTCCACCCTCCCAGCTCTGGGGCGACTCTGAGCGTCCTGGGTTCTGAAAAAGCGCCGAGAGATGGGCTGGGGAGACCGGAGGAGGGGTTTTGATCAGGGAGGGTGGCGCGGAGTTGGGGCGCGGGGGACAGCAGGGAGAGGCGAGCCCGGCGTTTATCCTGCTCGCCTTCCAGGCCGCGCGCTCCAGGCGTCCCCAGGCGTCCCCAGGCGTCCCCAGGCTTGGGAGGCTCCGTGCGCAACGGCGGAGGCTGCCCGGGATGCGGAAAAGCCGTGCTGCCCCGGGGTTTCGATCTCCGGCCCCTGGGAGGTTTGCAGAGCCCGGGCTCCCGCGCGGCTGCAGCCACGCACACCCCGGAGTTCCTCCGAGGGAGCGCGGGTCCCGGAGCCCCGCGGAGACGCCGCGTCCTCCCGCACAGGGCGTGCGGAGGCTGCCCCCGCGTCCTGGCGCGGGCACACACACGCCCCTCCGCAGGGGGCGACGGCAGGGGGGCGGCGAGTATTGGTTCCGGTACAGGGGCCGTGCAGCTCTTCGGCCCCGGGCGCGCGCAGGCGCGCCCACACTCACAAAACACACTTGTTTGGGGACAGGCGACAAAGCTGGTCCTGAAAAATGCCTCGGCTGCGGCCCCACCGCGCGCCCAGACGTTCGTAGGCCGAGGGACACAGCCCCAAGCCAGGGTCAGGAAGGTAGACGGCAGGCACGCGGGGGCCTCCCAGACCCGAGCGCAGACAGCGGCGGAGAGGAGGCAGGTCCCGCACAGGTTCCCTCGGAGTCGGTCCGGGGTGACCGGAGAGGGAGGAGCGGGGAGATCCTGACGTCCAGCGGCGGGGGAGGCCCCGTTATACCCAATATAACCTGTGTTTGCTCAGGCGGAAGACCCGGAGAGGGTGGATGGGTGTCCCCTCGGAGGCAGCCGCGCCCCGCTCGGAGCACACTTAGGGACCAAGCAGTTGCTCACCGGCCCCTGCCCATCCTCCTGGCTCGGGAGACGAGCTTTAGAATTTGGGATTTGAAGGCACCTCCAAAGCAGTAACAACCTCGGGTGAGGGGTGGGAGCGCACTCGTGAAAGGCACACCCACCGCAGCGGGGCCACGGACACCCCCAGGGCTTGTGTGCTCGCGCCGCCCCAGTAGGTGAGACGTCCAGCGGCGCCCGATCCCCCGACAGACCGGGGTTCCCCGGGTCGAGGGGTTCTCTCCGCGTTCCCCACACCCGCCCTATGGGGTCCTGACTTTCCTCCTTGTGTCTCCGCAGCGGTGCTGTTGTTTATGGAGCTTTGGGCGGGGGCTGAGCCCGCGGTCTTGCCCCTCGCCCGCCACCCAGGCCATG